GGGGGGGGGGGGGGGAGGCTCATCGTGACGACAAATGACCACCCACCCAAGAGCCACCCAGCTCCGTCGCCACACTGTCCTGCATTTCAGAATGTGGGGAACTCTGCTGCAAACCTTCAATTAGGTTCTCAGGTTTATCCAGAACCTAAAATGCCCTCAAGTGGCAACAAGCTGAAATCACAACTGGGCACAGAGAACTGCAAGTGAGCAGAATTCTGGCTACACAGATGTGAGCTAGGAACCCAGTAAAGGGAAGCCCAGAAGCCCACCTTAGCATCACAGGACACTGTGCAGGTATCTAAAGCATGCACAACACTCAAATGAATTACTCAGGAGACCCCAAAGATCTAATTACGCAGAGAGAAACCCAATAAAAGTCTGTCTCCTCGTTCCTTCCATGTATTGCCCAAAGTGTCGCTAGAGTAACTCTCCAGCACAGGTTGCATACTTCTGGGAGACAGTGGAGAAAGTCCAAAAAATAAGGTGTGAAAAAGAAACTACAAAAAGAAAAATAATTGAGGTGGAATTATTTATTCAGAAGAAAGCAGTGAATGAAACTTTAGCCATTCTTTTCTCCTACGCATAGAAAGTCTGGACTTCTGTTATAATAAGAGAAATCTGAGCAAGAAACAAAACTTAAACAAGAAATAATGATAGGAAATATTTAAGAATAAAGTAGGTAATTAGCTTAAGTATAATTTCATTTGTGACTGAACTATAAAAACAGCCTGTTTTTTCTAACAAGTGTCTATAACTCTTGAAATCAACACCATGATTAAAAGGATAGCAAATAAAAATGTGCCATCCCTAAAACTAACTCATAAAATGAGTTTCAACATACTGTACAGTCTAACCCACTCTAAGAAAACACTGTCACAGGTCCCACCCACTCAGAGACATTCTAAAACTTAGAAAACTTGGAAACCAAAGGAATCTACCTGAAGGACACCACCTCTCAGGGACCCAGGCACTGTTCCAAGAACAACCACACCAAGCACCTCCAAGGTTGGGGTCAGGATAGATAATCTGACTGCTGTCAAACACCAAAACTGGGATCTAACAGATGCAGAAACACATAGGGAGCCCAGGCAAGATGAAAGGAGGTGAGGGGCAGCTGAACTGTCCTGGGGCAAGGAGGACAAAGCCCAACGTTCCAGGTGGAGAAGGGAGTAAGGCAGAGGAGCAGAGCACCGGCAGAAAGCCAAGTGCAGGCCCTCTTCCACTGAGATCAGACTTGGGGGAGGGCCTCCTCGCCCAGCTCTCCCACATCCCTTTCATGCCCTGTTCTATGAGCGACGAAAGAGGGCAAAATGCTACAGAGAACACTTTTAAATACAGCTAGCTAAAGAGTGCGTGTTCCTGGGCAACAAAATACGGCTCCACTGGGATCACATGAATCCTTGATGGAACGTACACTGAGGTCAAGGGATGTTTAGCATAGATGTGGCCATGGGCGGAAGCTAGTTCTGGCTCTACAGATTCATGCAAAAACTTAGGTGTCCCAAGACCTGTCCAGCCCCAAAAGCTGAAGAGGTGGGTTACTTAAGCCAGCGCAGTTCAGTAGACCCTAACAACGCTGAAACTAGATTCCCTCCAACCTGCCTGCTGGAGCAACCTTTTTGTGTCCCCACAACTGGCCAGGTCTTCTAAAAGACCCATGGACACACAATAACCAGAGGTGTTGTGCCATGATCCGGCCAGGGCATATGACTGTCACTAGACACAGGGTTGTGGTCAGAAGAGGCCCTCAGCATTTCAGAAAGACTAAGGATCAGGGTAAACTGAGATAGATCCATTGTCATACTTATTGTGGGTCTAATCCAAGTAGTTAATATACCAAACCAACCCCACTATAACAAACAATTTATGCCAAGTTCTAACAGCAAGCAGGGTTTTACTTAATATGACACAACACAAGTTATTCTGCTATAGCAGAAGATGGGTAGGAAATAGCAACACTGACTTTCATACCAAGACCCCTGGAAAATTTTGTTTTGTAGCCATAGAATTATTTAAGTTTCACTAGATTTGCTTGTCTTAAGCATCTGTGTTAACAAATAAATATTAAGATGTTTACTTATTCCAGAGTTACACAAGTAATACCTGGAAATAGAGAGACTCCACTTCTGGGGTGAGTTGGTCCAGGTACCCCAAAACCCTTCGGCGAACTGCCAGCCTCAGTAGGCCACACCAACCCCTCCATCTATGCACTTAGTTCCTTCCACCCCAATGTCTATGGTCACGCTGCACTACCCACTCGCACTCAACCTGGCCCTTGTCAGTGAGGACAGGAGTGCAATGGCGTCCACAGAGGGCACGAGGGGGGGCAGGGAGGTGCTTAGAAACAGTTTGGTCAAGTGCAACCAAGTCTGGTACCCCTTCCTGCACTGGCATTTCATGTGAAGTATGTGGAGCATCTGTCACCTGCTCAAGTGATACAGCAAAACTGGCCCTGTAAAACAAAAAAAGGCTCAAACCAAGGCAAGCTGCTGAGGGCTGGAAGCCAACAGGAGCACAAGTCTTCTAGTAAGAGTAGAACAAGAAAAGAACAGTCATTTCTTCAGCTGACATTTAACAGAACTAACGTTTAATAAACTTAAATACTAAAGTCACAGGCAGGCATGAGGCACTTTCTGTGGCAAAGGCTTCTTGGCATTCAAATAAAGGTTAGATGACAAAAATAATACCACTGTGACCAATCAATCAGATTATGCTCCCAAGAGAGAAACTGTATTTGTTGGCTGATATACACAGAAAAGGGAAGAAATTGGAAAGAGCACTTGAGAATTTAAAAGCTATTTCCACGTGACTCAAATCAGGAAAACCACCTTAAAGCCCCATTGCTCATACACACAACATATTTTAACAATGATCAGAAAGCAAGTACAGTTCACCTTGATTTTTAATACCCAAAGGCATCCTGTTAATAAAATAAAAGGGATATTGTGCTTTGCTTTTATGGGGCATATTTTATATGTTTAATTATGTAAAGCACTACTTGTACCAGAGTTTCTTGGAAAATATAAAAATTCAAATTCATTATGTCAAATCCATAAATCTAAACAGCCCCTTGGGGAAAAAAAGGCTTAAAGGAAAACTCAGCCTAAAATTGAGAAGGATTTTATATCATAATCTATTAAATTATGATTGTCAAACACTGAAGTTAATACAAAAAAGAGTGAAATCACTCATGTTTGCTTCCCTAACTGTGTCTTACAGGCACGGGCAGGCTTTGCCAAGTAATCAGCAAGTCTGAAGTTTTTCATTACTGAAATATGTCAGGATTTGCAAAGGATAAAACAGTCTAGTGGATCAACTGCTTCTGCTTCTATGTCAAAAAAAACCAGTAAGCTAATACTGAGTAACCTGCTTAAGATGACAAATATCTTTGCTTAGGAAAAAATAGCTTTCACAGTTTGTACAGGTGTGCTGATTTTATACCAGTTTATAAAATTGATAATCACAGGATGGGCAAGCAGTATCCTCCACTCACTGGTCCTGGTTTTGCCCACTGAGGGTGTGTGATCCCTCATCCACCTAACAGACTTCTAGTTAGCTTAGCTGGCTACCAGTTTTCTCTAAAAGTCCTCTTTATTCTAGGCCCTTTCAACTCCAAATACCCCAGCTCCTTCAATTGTTCCCAAAACGAGATGAATCATTTTGGTCACACTCCCATCTGTCCTGAGGATATAGGCACAGAGCTGCACTTGCTCCTTGAGATGGGAGCTGACCAGCCAGTTCAAGATGGGGCTGTCACTGTTTTAGAAGCTCTCCTTTTAAAGCAGGGCTTCCCTATCACTGCCAGCCATGCCATCACGTGGGCTCATATGGGGCTTGCAACCAATTAAGATCCTCATGTCTTTTTTCCCCCCCTCATAAGTTGCTGGTAAGGTAGATTTCCCACAGCTAGCACTCTGAGTTTTGTTTTTGCCTTTTTAAAAAATATAAGCACAAGATTTTCTTCTTATAGTTAATGTCATATTGTCAGTTCTGCTCAGTCATTCCTGTACAACAAACTCTCTTGGGATATCCTATCATCCAACCTATTATGTGACCTCATCTGATGTGTGTCATGGACACATGACACAATGATATATGACTTCCTGGGGTGTCACTACCACATTTCAGATTTAAACCACTAAAAAGGGCCTAGCATGGGACACAGCCCCTGACCTTCACCTCTGCAGGAAGCCTCTCCCAGGGTGACATTAATCATCACTCTTTGAGTGCTGCTGTTCAACTACCTACTAAGCCAATCTTCCTAACACCACACAGAGGATGCTAGTTTCTTGAACTGGAGCTAGAATTACAGAAATGTGCATTCTAAAACCTCAGCAGGTTCTCAGAGTACAATGTACACCCCATTTAATTCAGACACCAAAACTGAAGTCAAACTGCTCCTAAGAGCTTTTTACAAACTCTAAACACCTGCTAATTCAGTTCAACTGTTCAAATAAATTTTATCATTTTTTTCTTCTGGGAAGTACTATTTTTGGTTGCTTTACTATGCAAAACCATCCCAACCACACAAAACCCAATGAACCTACATGCTGACGTCATACTGCAGGCATTTCTAGCACAGAGCACGGGCAAAAAAGGGAAGTTTTTCTCACAAAAACGATTTGAAACATTACAGACGCAAACCTGCAGCAGCAGCGTACCAGCGTGAGCTCCGGGTCCTGCAGCCAGGAGGGCAGCACCGCTGGCTGGCTCATCGCCTGGAACAGTGTGGCCCTCAGCGCACAGTAATTATCTCCGCGGACTCGCCTTATGGAAGTGAATTTCTGAGATACCTCTTCATAGCCCTAGGTGAAAGCATCAAAGAATTTAAAATGGTTGTTACTGACTTCAGGGAGAGTTTTATTCCTGTGGAAAAATGTGCCCCTGAAAGATTGGAATCAAGACTGGCTGAGTCCTATATGTAAAACAGTCTAATTCCTTTTTAATTAATCAAAAGATATTAACAAATGTTAGTACTGTACAAAATATTGGCATGTTAACAGATGTAACACACTAAAACATATAAATAATACACCAAGTATTATTATTATTATTTTTTAAATATATCTTTATTGATTTCAGAGAGAGGAAAGGAGAGGGAGAGAGAGAGAGAGAGAAACATCAATGATGAGAGTGTCATTGATTGAGCCCACAACCTGGGCATGTGCTCTGACCGGGAATCGAACCCCGATCGCCTGGATCCTAGGTCAACGCTCAACCGCTGAGCCACACCCGGCCGGGCTACACCAAGTATTATTAAAACACTAACCACTCCCAAAGTTGGAGTTATATATCTCTTTCTAAGCAACTGTTGCAACACATGTATTGATAACTGATTTCTGAAGGGTTTAATCTGTATTTAAATCGACCCTGAATTCTTTAATGAAGAGATAGGAAAGGAGAGAGAGGTATACTAACTTTGTATCTCCATATTAACACACACACACACACACACACACACACCCTCCCCCCCCCTTGAATTCTTTAATGAAGAGATAGGAGAGAGAGGTATACTAACTTTGTATCTCCATATTAACACACACACACACACACACACACACACCCCAAAATTCCAAATTTCCATGGTACATTTTAAAAAGTCTACATGCTTGGAAGTATCTGGATAATTCTGTTAGACTTGTTAAAAAGTGGATTTGTCATTCTTGTTCAGTCTGGAAGTGAAAAGAGGAAATGAAATGTTCAGTGACACGCTCATCACTCAAACACAGCCACTGAAATGGAACATTTTGAGGCATACTCCAAAAAAGAACACCATAAAATCCTAGTGACCTGGTCCATAGACACCTGCTCACCTGATTTCCCTGGGTGGGCACTGCTCAGGCATCAGTATCAACTTCAGTGCTCCCCCACCTCACTCACTTCCATCCTGTCCATCCTTTGTCCTGCTCTTCCTGGACAGTCACTAGAAACCTGCTTCCTACCCTGTACTCACACAAAGGAAGGAATATCACTCTCACTACACAGACTGTCATGCTGGACTCTCATTATTAGTTTTCAAGGTTCAAGTCACAGGACAATGTTCTCAGTGGATATGAAAGAACTTCTTTATAATAATAAAATTTTAAGAATCCCATTTTTTTAAAGTATATCTTTATTGATTTCAGAGAGAGGAAGGGAGATAGAGAGAGAGAGATAGAAGCATCAGTGATGACAGAGTCATTGATTGGCTGCCTCCTGCAGGCCCCTGACTGGGGATCAAGCCCGCAATCCTGGTATATGCCCTGACCAGGAATCGAACCACGATCTCCTGGATCCTAGGTCGACGATGTTCAACAGCTGAGCCACTCCCGGCCGGGCAAGGGTCCCATTTTTATGTAGTGGTTCAATCACTGTGACAAATAAGGGTCCATCAAGCAGACTCATGTCTACTAATGTGCATCTCTTCCCTACTGTGGAACCCCAATTGCCTTGAATATTCACAATGGCTAGTTCAAAAGCAACTGCACCTCTCCAAATGCATAAATTACTCAAGCTATTTCAGAGGTGAATCAAACTTTTAAAATTAAATTTGGATTTATATACACCTCCAAACGAATATCCAAAACAGCCTGGCCGGTGTGGCCCAATGGTTGAGTGTTGACCCAAGAACCAAGAGGTCACCTGTCTGATTCCCAGTCAGGGCACATGTCGGGGTTGTGGGATCAGTCACCAGTATGGGGCATGCAGGAGGCAGCTGATCGATGTTTCTACCTCTCTATCCCTCTCCCTTCCTCCCTAAAATCAATAAAAACATATTTGGAAGGAAAAAAAAAGAAGATCCAAAACAAAAATAGACAAATAAGGACTAAACAAAGAACAAAGACCCAATCTCTTATCTAGCTCTGAGATGCTCTAATTACTGCCATGGGTCCTGATATGACATTTTCTGAACTGATGTGCCTTTGATTATTTGGTCACTGAAAAGTCCAACGACAGGGTCAAATCTTTCTCTTGAAATAAAATGAGAGAGGAATGATTTTAGCATGAATTCCAAAATACAGAATATTTGGATAACTTAGGAGTCATCTTCAATTAAGGAACCTCAGGTGCCAGTTGTTAGAACAGATCCTTAAAGAGGCTGAGGTCATAAAATAAAATTTCAAGTCAGTGAAAGCATTTCTGGGGAAGATGAAAAAAATATAGGCACACCTCAGAGATATTGCAGGTTCAGTTCCAGACCACTGCAACAAAGCAACTATCTCAATAAAGTGAGTCACATGAATGTTTGGGTTTCCCAGTGCAGATAAAAGTTATGTTTACACTCTACTGTAGTCTATTAAGTATGCAAAGAGCATTATGTCTAAAAAAGCAATATATATACCTTAATTTAAAAAACCAAACTGGTAATTACCAGTCACGGGGATGTAAAGTACAGCATAGGGGATATAGTTAATAATATTGTAATAACTACGGATGGTGCCAGCTGGGTACTGGAAATATCGGGGGAACATTTTGTAAAGTATATAATTATCTAAACACTATGCCGTATACCTGAAACTAATACAAAATAATATTAAATGTAAACTGTAATTGAAAGCTAAAATTTTTTTAAAAGAATGAAAAAAAACCCCACCAGTTTATTGCTAAAAAAAAAAAAAGCTAACCATCATCTGAGCCTGCAGGAAAAATCACATCAATACATCTGCTCAATGCAGGGCTGCCATAAACCTTCAATTTGTAAAAAAGGCAACAAAGCAAAGCACAGTAAAATGAAGTATGTCTGTATAGTTTAGATACCTGGCCTACTGGTTATCTAGTTTGATACCAGGCTGGAAGGTTGTTACGAAATCTGTGAGTGGCAGATATGCATATTCAGCAGATGGCCTCACAAATCTAAATGTTCTTCACCTCTGGCAGGAACTGAGAGTCCCTGTTATTTCATGATTGAGTTCTCTTACAAGGGACTGAGACACGAAGAGCCTACAGTCCAGACTTGCAGGGAGCAAAGATGACATTTGCTGTGAGCTTGAATAGCAGCAGCTACACTCTGAGTAAGATCAGCCCATTTCCGGGCAGCCTGGGCAGCTGAGGTTCCTGCTGAAAGAAGTGCAACACTTTGTACAAAAACAAGTTCTGAGGATAAGAACAAATGTATTCAAATATTTATAAATTTAAAATCCTAAACAATACAGTTATAAACAAAAAACATGTATTAGAAAAATTTCTACCAAATATGACAGATCAATATCTTTAATATACATGAATTGCACTCAAATTTATAATGTAAATACACCCAAGGGCAAAATGAGCAAAGGTTTCGAGAGGTGGTGGAAGTGTTAGATGGAAAGTGTCATTTCTGCAGCTCAGAAAGGTCGAATGGTAGCAGTTTCACACAGTTCACACTACTAAGGAATGTTTGAATCAGGATGCATTCATGGGCAACCAATAGGATGTGCTGCTCAGCTGGCTGTGCAATGGGAGTGAGTCAAGGGATGGGGGCCTGAGCAATGATCCAGACCAGTCAAAAGAGGACCACGGCATGGGAATCCCTAATGTCCCGCAGCCTTGGAGACTACCTTAGGGTCACCATCTATGCAATGCTGTTGGGAGGGAGCAGCTCCTGGGACACCCTAATGAGGGGAGTAGTTCCAGATTCTTGTGCATAGGGAGTGCAGGCCCATAAGACTGGAAGGCATGAAATCAAACCCAGGTGGGGGCAGTAGGGGATAGGACATCTTTTACCTCACCAGGCCAGAAGGGCATTCCCAAATGACCCTAAGAGAAAAAGCAATGGCTGGACCAATTCTAAATAGCACAGAGTCATTTCTGTGTTTTTCAAAGAAATCATTTTACTTAAATACTGATGCTGATTCTATTTTAATACTGTGACTCAAAAAAGTTCCTTATCTTTGGGGTCTGTTTTCTTATTTCTAAAATCAAACACCAGTATTTATATAGTGTAACAGCAGTTGTCATAATAAATGTCTAAAAATATAAAAGGACACACTAAATAATTACCTATGATAGACTATTTGAAAGGCTTGAAATATGTGCATCTAGGTGTCATACCTTTTTCATACATGTAGCTTTTTGCGTATTTCCCCTCCATTCTTTTTTGCAGTAGTCCATGATATCCATTTCAGGAGCCACACTTAATTTAGGTTCTGTTAAAGAGTCAAACAAAAGTGGGGAGGGGGAAATAATGAAACAAAGCATAATCAGAACAATGGTACTGCTTTATGTGGGGATTACTTTCTCTTTCACTTCATTTCAAAAAATCCAGAATCCCACCATTGTCCACCACCTGGTCTAGACCACTATCCCCTCATTCCTAGATAACCACAGAGGTCTCCCAATGGATCTGCCTTATCACCACACTCTACTAACTAGTCTCCACAGGGCAGCCAGAGTGATGCATTTTAACAATATCCATCACTCCTGGGTTCTGAGAGCTCCCAGGTATCTCATTCCAGGTACCTGTTCCCACATTCCAAGCAGGTCTCTGCTCACCTCTGAGCATATCATAATGTCTGTCACATACCTTCATTCTATATTTCTCTTACACTGTTCTGTTTTACTTCCTGGCACTAACACCCAACATATTTCTTTTTCTGTATTCCTCATCCTGCTTCACACCCACATCTACACTCACACCCAAAAAGAGCATAACAGGAGCTCCTTGAGGGCAGGGGCTTGTTTTATTTCTTGGCTGTGTCCTCAGCACCTGCAACTGCTTGAACGCAGGTGTCCATGAATACTGTTCTGAATCAATAACATGCAAAAATCTGAGCTATGAGAAAATACATCTAATGATTTGTAATAAGTTTTTTTCACCCATTATACAAAGAGATAACATTTCTATAACAAAACGTACATTTAACTGATTTTATTAATTTATATCCTGCCCTGATCCCCAAAGACTACAAGTTATTGATAATAAGCCAGAAACTAATGGGGCTCTCAACATTAGTTGAACCACAGACCTCATCAGACTCTAACAAAACAAAATTAAAAGTACAACTTATGGTGATATAGTAAGAAAATGGCCTTTAGTTTTCTTTGTTGCCTGAGGTTTGATTTTGTGGTCTACGCATACGCATGCACACACGTATGTCTGTGTATGTTTTAGGAAAAAAGGGAAGTAAATAATCAGGCATATCTTGATTTCCTTTTTTTAAAATTATTGAAGAAGTAAATGTTAGAAAAAAATGAGGATATAGACACATAAGTACCTTACAACATATTCACTCCAGAGGAAGTTGTATGTAAAATTAAAATATTAGATTCGGCTCAACTCAACATTTACTGAGTGTCTAACACACATCAAGCATTGAGCTAGGAATATGAAGGCTTAAGACCAAGATTCTGCCCTGAATGGGTTTAAAGTCCACTGAAGAAAAAGACAACAGGCATTCACAAGCCAGGGTGTGATGGATGCTGAGATGACTGATTAGGAGCACAAAAGAGGAACCCCTAAGCCCTTCCTGCAGTTCAAGTAAATCATTTTTTTTAATGCAAAACATTAAGAACTGCCTATTTTTTAAAAATCTCATGTTGAATTCCTTTATAAAGAAAATAAACCTTGTATGTAAAAGGAGAAATAACACATATACAGACAATATAGATGCATGTATCTGTGGCATAAGTCAGGATTGGCTTACAAGTGAATCAGACCCCTGAACCATTATGTAGAGACCACAAATACCAATGCTGCACAATCTTCAAATAAAGAACTATCACTGTTGAAATTCAAGAACCACTTTTTGAATGTCTACTTATTAGAGGGAAGGGATGCCTTGTATCTACCCCTCCACTGTCCTCCCCACAAACCACGAGGAACTGCTAATGTCCAGAATCGAGGACATTTACTGGGCCATATTCTCCCACCAGGAGCACGCTTCCTGCTCAGGAGGGGCCTCCTCCATTGGAGCCCTCATTCCTGCACATGCCACGATGACACCTGCTCCCTGGGCAGGGTGGATAGGGCCAGGGGACCTCACCTAGCCAAAAAGCCAGCCACAGGCCACAATCCAGTGCTAAGTCAGATTCAGGTATGAGGCAGTGAGGGTGAGGAAATGGGGTACTGGCACAGCTGCTAGCATCAAAATGGTACTTTAATGCCCATCCTGCTGCTGTTTTTTGAGAGGAGGGCACCAACAGCCACTGCATGCCATCCTCTAGGCCAGGGGCTGGAGGTGCAAGACAGGCAGTGCCTGACCTCAATCAAGCAGCTTAGAGAGTACAATAGCTCCTTTCTTTGTTTAACTGCAGACTACATAGACTCCACCAGGGAAGAACATTCTAATGGAGAAAAAGGGAGGGGGGCTGAAACACAGATGGTAACCAGGAGATGAAGTAAACAAAGGTCTGGTCCTTCACCACCATGCACTGACAAAGACAAAGATCAGACTCTTGGAAGATGGGAAGTTAAAAGTTCTGTCACAACTACTCAAATTTACCATGCATAAAAGCCACCATGGACAATATGTAGACTAAGATGTTCTAATAAAACTTTATTTACAAAACCAGGTGAAACATCAAATTTGGCTAGGGAGCCACAGTACGCTCATCCTTGGAGAAGGTGAAAGAAACCTTTTCACTAACTTTAAAAGAGAACTTTAAGAAAACTTTGTCTTGACCTGGGCTCTGACATGGGGGAGAGGAAATCTCTCCTGAGAATTCATAACCACAGGCCGGCTCTCATACAGACACAGGGCATGGATTCAGATTTGCCACAAGACCCTGAAATCCAAGTCTAGAAATTCAGATAAGGTGGCCCAAGGCAGCTGACACCCTGGGTGCCTGGCAAAAATAAGGTCAAATTTTCTCACACTCAAGCCAAGTTGCACAAACTCTGTACACAGATACATGTAAGAGCTGAACTTACAATTCAAACTTTGAAGAAACAAGAAATAAGCAAAAATAGCAATTGGCATAATTAGACTTACAACCATGCAAATTAGGGGGGTGGGGGACAGAACTTTTCCAAAAAAGAAAGAAAAAGAAAAGAGATCTGAATAAACTATCCAGAATGCAACAGAGGCTACAAGATCAAAAATATGTGTGAAAGCCTGTGCAACTGGGAGCCTCGGATGAGTGAATGGGAGCTGGCAAATATCTAATTGGAGTTCTGGAAGGAGTAAATACAGAGAAATGGAAAAAGGCAATATTCATAAAGATAATGGCTGAGAATTCTCCCAAACTGATGAAAACTAGGTACCCAGGGATACAAACAAACAAAAATCTCAAGCAATATGTTAAAAAAAATCCACACTTAAGAGTTATCAAGGGAAAACACCTAAGACAAAGAAAGAAGGAAAAGGCAAATTATCTACCAAGGGTTAGTATGGCCGCAGTGTTTTAACTACAACAGAAACCAGAAGACAAAGCAATAAAACCTTCAAAAAGATTAGAGAAAACACTAGTCATCTGGAGTTATTCAAGAAAAGAAATGAAATAAAAATTTTTTCAAACATACAGAGCTTCCCACCAACAGACCCTTACACAGCCACTTTCAAAGGAGGTTATTTCAAGAAGGCAATGAATAAACCTGGAGGGCTAAAATGCAAGAAAGAATATAAAGGGGTCCATTTTAATCTCAGACTAAAGCTGGAAATGACAAGGCCCACTGAAAAGCTAAACGGACTACAAAGGGCCATACGAGCGGAGGGCTATACTGGCAGACAGAAAGGAATCACAACAGAACCTTCACAATGAAGGACAAAGTAAGAAGTCTCTGCAAATGTAGCAGGAATACACAATAGCCAAAAATCACCTCCTCCTCAGAGATATGACTAATAAGGACTCTGTATGAGGAGTGAATTTTGTGCAACCATAGGAGAAGAAATCAAGCGTCCTCAGCAATTTCAAGGAGGACCAGAACAGTATGGTCCAGGAACACATGTCACTGGACCCCTACAAAAACATCTCCTATGGCCATCAGTGAGGAGTTCCACCAATTCCTTGTTGAGCGAGACTTGAAAATTATCAACAAAACGTCACTTTGTATCATTTCTTCATAATTACACATATGGTAATACTTTTGTTAACCATAAAGTAAACAGAAGCTAGTTCTCAAGACAAACCAGTAGAACACACACATTACACTACATTAAGAGAGAAAATGCCACTTGAGCATCCCCACTTGGCTCCTGCACAAGGCTAGCCAGAGAAGTAAGGAGGTACTTCACACACAGCCCTACCTGCCATGCCCACAGTGGAGGAGGCCAGGATGTAATGTCTCACCCTAGCAGCAATGATGGGTCAAAGGGCCCTGGTTGAGGTGAGAAGAGCAGGTATGACTGAGAAGAAACATGGACACAAAATCATGAAACAATGAAAGAATTAGTGCTACTGATCCCATGACCATTCTTTCTTTGGTGTGAAGAGATTCAACAAATCCTCACAGGTGCAAAAATGACATAAATGTAAAGGACATAGAGAGAATACTTTCATTAAAATGTTAAAACCTCAGGAAATAGTACTCTCCAAACAGACTTTAGTAAGTGAATAATTGCATGCAAGTGAGACCTTATACATATTTTCTGGGAAGTACATCTTAATATTTTATGAAAATGGACAGACTGATTTAATAGCATTTTCTGCTATAAACAGTAAGAACTCTATAAGTAAAACAACTCCCAACATACCTGATAACCCTCTTTCATGTATAAGTAACTCTTTCTCCTTTTCTATTTCATCCGCGGCACGATACATGTCCTCCTCGCTGAAATCATACCAAATGAGACATTTCAAAAATTTGTTACACTGACATTTGCCCTCTTATCACAAATGCAGGTGTTTAAAAAATTAATAAGACATTTAAAGTTTAATTTTTTTCATATTACACAATAACAATTGGATAAAATACGGGTTTTTCATCTTAGATGCTCATGTTTCTATCATTCCACTTAAGAGACTTTTACTTTAAATGAGACATTTTAAATCATTCCATTTCCCACGTGACTCTGAGGTCACTTTAATTGTAATGTCTATTAATGCCTCTTCTACACATGTAAGCATGTTAGCATGTGTCTTATCAATGAAGCACTGTCAGATTCTATCAAGTTCCAAGAATAGGTATAGTGCTATTATAAGTATTTATACAGGAATGCAGGCCGATGGCCACTTCAAATGTCACAAGCAAACTTTACAATAGCTACTTTGAAAACAACAGGTGAGCATCAATTATTACAAATCCCCAAAGCTAAAAAAAATATTTCCCAAGGTTCCCCCTGCTCCCTGACCCTCACATTCAAGCAGCCACCTATGTTCCACTGAGCTTATCCCTTCTGTCCCACACATGCTTACTGCTGCCACTGCTACTAACTTGGTGCTTATATAATCGCTTCCTAAAGAGTCTCTAGTCTCAGTTAGTGAACTAAAAAGAACCTACTAAATACCAGAAAGGGAGATAACACTATTGGGTGCTAGACAAGGATGAACAATGGGACCTCTGGTTTTAGGATGCCTTCTCTTCCCCTCAACATCCACCACATGACAATGATGGGAAACAGAAACGCTATCCTTTGCTGAAACCACAAAACATGTGAAAGTACAAAAGTGGATGAAGGAGTAGAAAATGATGGAGGACAGAGCGCCTCATTGCCTGTGGAAGGGCATCTGCTGAAGGGAAGACCAGTAAACCCTGCAGAATCCCAGAAAGGCTTGGGATCTGGAGGTGCCAAGTACTTCAGAAAGCACAGGAGACACCCAGAGCTAAAAAGAAGGAAATTGGCTGATGTACACAAAACGAGTAATCAGACCTTCAATTCCCTATACTGCCTCCTGATGACAGCACACCACAACCCTCACACAAGATGGGAGGCTCAAAGCACAATGGAACACAGGAAGGGGGAGTTAATAAGGTCAATAAACAATATGGAATTAAGTGAACCACTGAAACACTCCCATCCCCAATTCCCTTAGTCGTCCCATCCCGTGTCCCATCTCCGTCCCCGTGTCGTTCCCCCCCCCATCCACAGCCTACTACAGCCGAATCTAACATACCTGCCTCTCTCCACCCCACTGAAACCTTCAATGCTCCCAAATAAGCAGCAAAGTCTAAAATCTGGACCTAACCCACCAGTCTAGCCAGTATTCCAGGATTCACTACACACACCCACACCTGTCCAAGGTTTCAGCCTTCTGCTTTCACACCTGTGACTGGCTCTGCCTATTCCCTCTGCCCGATAGACACACAGCCTAACACATCAGGACGTGTGCTTTGTGGTGACCCTGCTAGAGAGCCATGGATGGAACAGAAACCCAAAGTTAGAAGGCCAGGGTTTAACCACTCCTCACTAAAGCCCTTATTAGCCATATGTATAACCATGGAACTGAAGTAACTACACCTCTCAGCGCCTAAATTTAACCACTGTAAAGGACAATAAAAGTATCCACCTCAAAAGACTGCTGTGAGAAGAGACATGTAAAATACTCAGCACTCAAAAAAGTTAGCTATTCTTATAAATTCTCATACTATATCCATTGGTGCAAAAAGTATTAATAAACATTTTGCCCAATGACCATTTCTCATCCCTTTTTTCTCTCTAAAATAAAGGTGATGGTGTATGTGTGCCTATTTTTTTAATGTTCTGGGGGTAAGGGGTCATATTAAGGAAAAGGTACTTTCCATGTACTCTGGCTCCAGTCAGATTTCAAGTAAAAGGTGTGATGTCACCCACAGAGCCTGTGCCAGAGTTCAAAGCAAACAGAAACCACATTCCCAGAGACTATACATCAAACACCTAAAATAAAGTGTGACTAAATATGTTAGTTCTTCTTTCACTAATTTAATGATACCTTTCAGCCACCTTCCTAGCTTTATCAAACATAAAACATTCTGATCCTATAAAACAGGCACTCAAGTGAATCACTTCAAAATATTATCAGAAGCATGTCTTTGGGCAAGCACTTCCCTAATCTTGGCCTCAGTTCTCTCATCTTCACAATGAGAAGACTGGACAAGATCTACATGATCTACATCAGCGATTTTCAACCTTTTTCATCTCTGGCACACATAAACTAATTACTAAAATTCTGTGGCACATCAAAAAATATATTTTTTGCCAATCTGACAAAAATAGGTATAATTTTGATTCATTCATACCAAACAGCTACTGTTGCGTTGGCTGTTGTCATTTTTTTTCTTTGATAACCTAAGGGAAAAGAGGTCTGTGCCCCTGGCTAAATAGGCAGGTATTGCATGTTTTAAAATTCCTGCGGCACACCGGTTGAACGTCGCTGATCTACATGTTCCTCTTCCAGTTCTTACTTCTAACAGACGAGGACTCTATGAGTTGCTACACATTCTACTTCGTACAAAGTACATTTGGCTCTACTTTGTCCTCTCCCTTTTCAATCTACAAAATAACCAAAGTGCAATCACAACACCAGTGTCCAGATGGGGTTCTCTGAACAAACATTTCTCAGTACAGCCACAATTACAAGCTCCCACAAAGGCCAACAGGAGAGGAACAGAAAGAAATCAAAGGGAAGACAGAAAGAGAAAGCGAGATTACTGAAAATAAAAAGGAGTGTTTCATGATATACAAAAGCAGCAAAGCAGGAATTGATGAATGAGGTCTAGAGTATATTCAAATACTTAGGCCACAACTAGATTTCATTCAGATCTTATGCACAAATGTTTCCTAACTTCCATAGCCATCAAGGACATTTGCTAGCTTTTCAAGGTCATCAAGGAAATTGTAATATGGCCTTTAAAGGCCACCTTAAAAATTATCCTAAAGTTGTATTGCCTTGGAGAGAAGGTAAATTTTAAATTTAAGCAATAAAGCTCAATCAATATGGTCAAAAAAGAAGACACTTAACAGTCAAAATGAGATATTTATCCAACATAAGGACAACCAACTGGAGAGAGCTGTCTAAGAGCAAGAAAAACTAATTTTATTTAAGAAGATACTTCACTCAATAAACATTTGCTTTTACTTTTTTAAGCATCAAAATATTAAAACTGAAAATAACAACAAAATGAAATTATATTTAAACCCATGAATCTGAAATAGCTAAAGGTTTGAATTTTTGTTATGGGAAAGGAAAATAGTGAAACAATGATAGGAAAGGGATATTAAATGATAAGATAAAACACTGCAGTTTCGAAATTTGGCAATCTTTTGTAAGTGCCAAGTTGAGGCGGGGTGGGGAATGTCTACCATTTGGCACAAAAGAGGTCACTGAAGCCCACAGACTTAAACGATCACCACACCAGAGTTTCCTTCTAGAAAGCATACAGATACCCAGAAAAGTAGTAAAGAAAAGTAAGACAAAGTCGTAAATGTGACTTGATTTCATGGGGACCATGGCATGCAAGTCACAATTATACAGTTGAGTTAAATTTTAAATCCAAAATGTTAGCAATTCCTCCTTAGAAAATTTTTAGTTTAGCACCATAATGTTATTTTAAAGTGTATGTATTCAAGCTCCCATTTTCTCTTAAGCTAGAGGTAACATATTTCTTCTTAATATATACATATTTATTCTTAATATACATCATTAAGTTACATGACGTTGCATTCTAAATTATAACCTTCCTTTTGCTCTGTTCAAAGACTGCATAACAGTAAATTTTGAAAACTTAACTTAAAAATGCTTACTACATACATATAAAAAAAATACACTATTCCTAAGAACAAAAGCTATAAGCCAAAAAACAGCTCAGTGAAGCAGACAACCTTTCTGTGAAGCCAATTTTTCAATTTCTAATATCAGTAAAGATGTAATATAAAAAAAGTCAATGTTGACATATATGCAAAGCTAACAAGACAAGATTTTAATCACTCACCATTATGAACACTTGCATCAACTTCCCCTTACTTGTCTAAAAAAGCCAAACTGAGTATGACTTTGTTCAGCTCTCTGCACTTGAACACTGCAGTTCATGCTTAACGTGGCCTGCACTAGGAGACTAATGGCGCAGGCAGTGTTGGTGAGACAGTGTCAACCACTGTGACACCAATGCACCTTCCTACACAGGAAAAGCAAAGACCACTCAACCCAGCCTTTCTCCACCGCTTACCGGTTGTAGAGATGGGTGAACAACACATCAAATGCAGGAAAGTACCAGCACCCAGGCCAAAATTCCACCTCCCTTCTGCAACTGTACTTTCCATGACTGGCTCATGTGACTTCCAGAGGTATATGGGGACAACCCAGAACGCACAATGAGGTGTGAATCTCAGAGACATCTAAACTCTAAATCCTGAATCACGTTCTACATTCAGGTGGGGGAAGGGGCGGGAGGGAGTAGCTGTTATCCCATCAAATACAACCTCTAGGAGCTCCTAAGGTGTGAGGTGGGTGGGAAAACACATTGGCACAATAGTACATTTAGCAACACCCAAGAATAATAGTTTAACAATCTGTTGTTACTCATCGACACACTGGCACAATAGTATATTTAGCAACACCCAAAAACAATAGTTTAACAATCTGTTGTTACTCATAGACCCTTTGAGAAGCCACAGCTTTCATCAGAACCTCAGCCCAGAAAAACATACACAAAAAATTTTGCCTTCAATTTCAGAGCAGTTCATAGACATGCTCCCCCCAACCCGCCTATCACCAGTCTGTGGACCCCAGATTCAAACCCTGTCCCACCATCAGGCAGGCAGGCAGAAGAGCCATGTAGTCTCACTTCTCAATTCTCTAAGCATGTCTGGCCTGGCCACCAACCATGTCCCAGGAGCATCTTGGTCCTCAAGGACTACAGTATGGATTAGCTTAGCTAAAGGCAAGAAGCAGACATAGCTTAAGTTTCAAATGCAGGAGTGGGGTGAGCGGGGGATAAAGCATAATAGACCTGCTGGTAAAGCAATGAGGAAGCATCAAAAAAAGCCAACTGAATCTGATCTGACCTGAGATGTCTTTAAATGGGACCCTAAGTCATCTTGTGAGCCATCCTCAGGGCTTTGAGGGGGGTGAGGGGGTGGAGATACCAGTCAACCACAGCTCTCAAAGGAGCTAAGAAGTAAAGAAGGAAGGGGGAGAGGGATGGAGGGAGAGATTTAGAATGTAGCTTATCTGTGTGGTGTTTATATCCCTCTCCCACCATTTCTCTCCCTTGTGAAATGCAGTGAGCTTAGTCTACAGCAGCAATTTCCAATCTTTTTCATCTCATAGCACACATAAACTAATTTTGCTGATCGGACCAAAAATAATAGGTTTAATTTTGATTCATTCACACCAGACAGCTATTGTTGTGTTGGCTGTTGTCATTTTTTTTTTAAACCTCACCCAAGGATATGCTTACTGATTTTAGAGAGAGGGGAAGGGGGGCTGGGGAGAGAGAAACATCGATGTTAGAAAGAACATCAAATGGATGCCTTCTGTACATGCCTTGACAGGGGATCAAACCTGCAACCTAGATATACAAGTCAACAATCCAACCAAGCCACACAGACCAGGGCGGTGGTTGTAATTTTTTTAACAATCTAAGGGAAAAGAGGTCAGTAGCCCTGACTAGTCAGGCATTGCATGTTTTAAAAATTCCTGTAGCACACTAGTTGAAAATCACTGGTCTAAAGGAATCAGTATCTTACAATACTACCTAGGAAATGATCCAATGCTCCCATTCACATCATTGCAACCTTCAAAGAGTCATATCCCAAATGATTAATGGCTGCAAAGCTGGGCTATGGTTCATATTCCTAATTACTGTCTACTGATTGCATTAAAAATGACTGCAGGGTATCACAAAATACCTGCAGTTTTATGGTGTTTCATATACTCATCAGGTGCAAATATTTTACTCAATTCCTGTACAGGGCAAACCTGATTCTTTTGTTGAGAACAGTCTTGGCTCCAATGACAGAAAAACACAGTTTAAAAAGTATTTTAGGTTGTAATCCAGGCATTACACTATTTATTTAAATCTATACCCAAGTATTAGGCTACATATTCATCATGTAAGAACTGATATGCACACATTATATTGCAAACTATAAAATAAGCAGTTTATATGACGCAGTACAGTTTCTCTAGTCCTTAAGAAAGTATCACAAAGCAAACAGAAATAGCTTCACTGCCTATATAATAGGCAAGAAAGCTCAAAATATAAGATGTGATGTTCAGAAGTTGCTGACACCTGAAGTTATCTTCACCTCCTTTCCCTCGCTCCCCCTTGTTCTCTTATGAGAGTTAAAAGAGAGTAAGATCATCAAAGACAACAAAAGCAGGAAGAAAAAGAAATGAAGCTCTAAATAAACTGCAAATTGAAACATCTATTCCAGAAGAAAAATCTGAAGTTTGCTGTCATAAACCATGTCCCTCTGCTTGCTTTGCTGAGGGAGCCAGAAAGAGATGGGAGGAGGTTCCCACCCAGGCATAGGCTGGGTTTCTTAGATTCCTTTCCGCTCTAGGTCTATAATTCTACTGACAGGAGCCAGAATATGGCACAAAACCTTTTCATCAGGAAGGAGTGCTACTTCCACACCGTGGCACACTTCCCCAGGTACTCAGACTCAAAACCAAATCCATCAGGAAAAGTTGCCAAATAACTATGTATTCTTTCGGGAAGTCAGTCTCGCTTCACAGTTTCTGCATCACCCCAAGCTGCATGATGCTCAGTCCAATGCTGAGGAGCAGCATCTGAGAACCAGGGCCATTAAGCCGGGGCAGAAGTGTAGTAGTAGCAATTAGGAATCCCCATGGGCTGTGGAGGGAGAGGGGCAGAAGACCCTCTTCCTATTTTATCAGCTTAGGAGTGAGTCTGAGGTAGGTCTCCAATTCAGGCAGCAAAACTGAAGCCACAGGCCACATCAGCTCACACATGGGCCTGCTAGGTGCTTTCAACTAAAATATAAAATAAAATGCTACTATTTAAAAATCAGGCCATTTCATACAAAAGCCGGGATAGCTGCATTTTTTAAATACAGAAAAGCCAGCCACTATAGACTGAAATTTAACAGACTACCTCCAACAGAGATGCCCCCAGCTTTCCAGAACATCTACCTGGCCAGCTTTACTCAGGTTACCTGCCTCACTCCTGGGGGCAGGACTTTGAGACCTCCTACTCCAAATACTTCCCAGTGGCCATTAAGTGTGGATAATTACAGCCCAAGGCGTTTGGGTGCTCAATAAATGAGAAACGTCATAGCCCATGGTAAAGAACTACGCAAAGGAGAGTTATTATAATACACTAGCTGCATAACAGGCCTGCAATGGACCCCTTTTTAGGAAATGCAAAACTATAGGGGAAAAAAGCATTTGAACACACTTTACAATTTAACTTTACAGTCACGCTATCTGTCAAACTGGTTATACGAGTGCTTTCCTCAATTTGGGAATTCAAAGACATTTATATGTGCGTAGAGCTTGGAAAGTGTGGGGAAAGTTTCAGTCTTCAAGTCTATATTCTGCTCCCACCCCCCTGCAGAAAGTATAAACGCTTCCGACTTACACGGCCTTCTTCACAGTTCTGTAGGGAACTGGCCTGACCGGCACTGCCTTCAGTATTTAAAAATAAAGGGGGAGCGGGGATATTCGGCGAAGCCGTTAAGGAGCAAACAGAACTGGGTCAGACTCCTTCCAAAGTCTACCCAACAGGTGGGACGCTCGTCAAGCAGCGACTTGCCTTCAAGAACACACATGTCGCGCGGCTCCACTTTCCCACCGAGTGAAGGAAAAATCCACTGGGTGCTGGTTTTAACATAATATGCTTCTCGGGTTCGTTTCCCAAGTTTCTGGAGCTTTCTTTAACTTTAGAGTTATGGAGATAGTCAAAGGGGGGAGGGAGGAGGCACTAGGTGACCATAACTGTGAGAGGGACCCTCCGGAAAACCATCTCTACTGAGACACTGGACACAAGTGTCTTTAAACGCCTCTGTCCCCGACCGCCTCACTTAGAGCCGAGGGTACCAAGGG